GGGGGGTTTGGGAATAGGAAAAGGGAATTAAAATCTACAGAAGAAAATTTTTTTCTGATAGATGGACTGCTTAGTGTAAGACTCCGCCCTCTGGCGTTTTGACAAATGAAGTAAGATGAAGTCCTACTCTGAGCAGTTGATAAAGAATCGAATCATCTTGTTCTCATTGGACAAAGAGAAGGCAAACAAGTCAGGGGTAGACCAAGAGCGTCTTATACAGGGTGCCCTTTACGGATGGGATCGGGTCGGGTCGGGTCGGGGACGATCACCCCACTCGTCTCCTGAAAACAAACGCGTTTGTTTTTGAGGCGATGAGTCGGACCCGATCGGCTTGTGCCACGATAGCCGCTTTGAGCCCTTAATCTGGCTAGCAAACCGATCCGACTCGACCCGATCCCCCTTTGGGCACCCTGCATTACATGGAAGACCTGAACAGATATGTTACGGAAAAACACTCGGATGAATTAAAGAAATAAAAGTAAAATAAAATAAATATATATGGCCTATATATATACATATATATATATATATATATATATATATATATAAAGTGGCGCCTAAAAGAAACTTGAAAATATAATTACCCAATCATCGTGTTAAAGCCTTGCACTACCCACTCATGCAGCATACCAATTTAAAGCTAAATAAATTCTGCATAATCTGACATATTAACATTTCATCTACGGTAAGAGATGTCCGAGATATGGTCACTCTGAATTGAGTTTAAAAACATCAGGTTTGGGAAAAATTGTGCGAAATCAAAGAAACGTAAAATTGTCTTTGCTTGTATTCAGAAGGTCAATATTAAATAGAATGGACGTACATTGCTTTTCCCATGAATAAGGATTTTTTCTCAACAATAAACAATATTTTTTAATGATATTTCATTACGACAGTTTCAAACAAAACAGAAAACAGAGCAATCACAAATACCACGCTGAACTTGGACATTAAATGTGCTCATTGTTAGGTGTAGCGCACGAACTCTTTGGGCATCGACTCTATTAAATTTTGGATGCAGTTATCTTTCACTTCATCACAAATGTCACAGAGAGTTGCGAAAGTAGGGTCTGAATTAGAAGTGTCGTAAGACTAAGTCTCACACTTCGCAGTTGATAAAGAATCGAAACATCTTGTTCTCATAGGACAAAGAGAAGGCAAACAAGGCAGGGGTAGTCCAAGAGCGTCTTATTTGGAAAACATTTCTTCAGCTGCTGTTTCTTGGGACTTCACATACCTGTAGGATTCATATTGGGACTATTTACTTGTGACCATCCCAACGTTGGTATGATTTGGTTTAACAAGAATTGGCATGTAACATTGGCCCCGTGAGAAAGTGCTTTTATATTCTTGGAAATGTTTACTTGAATAACACAATGACGAAAATAAGGGTAAGACATGACGTCCCATGTCAGCTCTTGCGCGACATAGTCCAGTTAACCAATTTAAGCCTTCCGGTGATTCTCACGAGGGCGGTTTTGTTCATTCCACCTCAGACCACCCCAAATCACGGCAGCTAGCGGTCTCTGTTCCTCACTGATAGATGATTATGTTTAAACTGTAATTAACTACCTTAGTTCATGTGTAAAAAGGTTGCGTGCTCAACCAATGGCCCCTAAACGAAAACAAAATACTAATGAGCACATGTATCATAGTTAAGTCCAGGGTTTGCGTGGTATTTGTAACTGCCCTGTTTTCTAATCTGTTTAAAAATATCATCAGAAGATGCTGTTCATTGCAGAGACAATACATTATATTATTTTTTCATTTGGTATTCAATACATATCCATTCCACCAATGTTTATTCACCTCAATATACATACAAATACACTTTTACTTTTTATTTCATTTCGCACAATTTTGCCAAGCCTGAATTCTTAAGGTCAATTTTGAGGGACCATATCTCGGGCGTCTCTTGACATAGAAGAAATTTTAATGGGTCAAATGATGCAGAATGTATTCAGCTTTGAACTGGTATGCTGCATGAGCGGGTAGTGTAAGGACATAGCACAATAATTGTGTGATAAAATTTTCAATTTGGAAGAATATTTTTGGGACGCCACTGTATGTATGTATGTCTATGTATTTACATATGTATATACATACATATGTATATATATATATAT